GAGACTCTGCTGGGTGTGCTGGTCCCCACTGTGTCCCCACCTGCTGGTGGTCCCCGCTGTGGCCCCACCTGCTGGCACCGGCCTGGCATGGAGGTGGGGCTTGGTGAGTGCTGGATGTTGTAGAAGCCGCAGGGGCAGGGCAGGTCACCGGGCCTGGCAGATGATGTCACTACCTCCCCTGCCTCGTGCCCCAGGTTGTTGTCAGCACCCTCTTGACTGAATCGTCACCACTCCCTTCTGGAAGGAAAGAACACTGAGCTTATCCATTCAGTGTTGGGGGGAGGTTTGAAGCTGGAAGAGAAGTCGAGACTGCCTGTGGAGTCACGCTGAGAGGCAGCGGGGGAGAAACAGGTGTTCCCGACACTACCCGCCTCCCTGTGCCTCATTCTTGCTGGCGTTGTTTACACGTCCCAAGTGAGAGTCAAAGCCGTCTTCCTCCCCGTCTCTAATGCACAACCCGGGGCCAAGGAAAGGGATCTGTCAGCTGGCATTTGCAAAAATAGCAAACGGGCCTCTCTGGGCCTGTCGGCTCACTGGAGAGGAAACCGGATAAGGGATCTTTGGGCGGTGGCGGTTGCTTTTCTCTTGCTCATCACTCCCCCATCTCTGAGGTCAGAAAAGGAGATTTTTGCTCACGTGTGCCACTGGCACTGAGCAAGGCAAAGTGGCGTCCCCAAGGCAGGTGACCGGAGGCTGGCTGTGCCCTGGCTCCTCCAAGGGGCCTCTTCACCCGGGAGAACCCAGCCAGTGGGGGAGTCCCGTCCGTCTGCAGAGCAGCCGCCCTCGCTGAAGGCTTGTGGCTCCCCTGGGCGAGGTCAGCTGATGCAACAGAACACGAGGGCTTCCCAGGGCGTCGGGTTTGGTTAACGAAGGCCTCGGCGTTTTTAAGGAAGATTTTCAGCCAAACTGCCAACGACCTTGAGGATTTCTCGGTTCCCATCCCGCAACCGAAAGCTCAAAAGCAAGTCACAGTGTGGCCCCCATGGTGGGACCCTGGGCCTTGCCCACACTGCCCTCCTGTGACCGGTGCCGTCACCTGTGCTCTGCCCTGCAGTGAGGAGACGAGGATGCTACCTGCAACGGTGCTTGAGGGAAGGCTAGTGCTCTGCGAAAGTGGCACTGTGAAGAGGGGCTGGCACTCAGGTCACTGCAAGATGCCAGAGTTTGGTCTCAGGGCGGGGAGCCCATTGAATGCCAGAGGCAGCCCCTCTAGAAGGGCTGCAGAGGGCGTTCCGTCTCCTGAGGCCTGGCCACGCTCAGACCTCAGGCGCTGGACTTCTGCTGCCCGGCCTTACCGGGTGCCTGGCTGCCTGACTCTGCCACCCAGAGCAGGGATCCGCCCACTCAGCTCCTCCTTCGGCCCACCCCGGACCCTCAGACTCGGCACAGCCAGAGTGAGTGCATCACACACTCGACCCACGAAGGGCCTGCTTCCTGGAAGGGAGGCCTCTGTGCGATGGCCCAACTCTGTCCTGCAGGTTTTCTCCCAGCTGAAGTTGATTCT